GACAGGATAGATTATAGAAAGAGGACAATTATGTTGCAACTATAAAATAGCTTTTGTAATGATACTTACAGCTATCATATTTTTGTAATTGATACAGCAATCATATTTTGGAAATTAGTACTCGTAAAAATTAAACCAACTATCTGCTACCACATCCAATCTATCCTAACAAAATAGTGCTTGCTTTCTATTTGCTATTCAGATTTAATTTGAATTTAATAGCTCTATCATATATCTTGTTCTGTAAGTAACACCTTAATCATTTACAAGTGGAGCTATGGAAATATTTTAAAGCATACCACATTCTTCAGGCATAAAAGCAGATTGGCTGTATGTATTACATTTTTAATTCAACTTGGTGGCTACTGCATATCTTTGAACAGGAAGAATCTTATGTGCTCTTATCTGCTCCTTCACACATATTGCACTGAGTTGTTTTGATTGTGAAAGCCATTTTCATTTCAGAGCAATACAAGTATAACAAGCAAGCAAGCACATGCAATTTGGGTACATGCAACATAATTTAGGCTTATCTCCTGGTGTAAAACAGACATGATGGTTTATTTAATATGCTCTAGATCAGAGGTCTCCGAACCTGGCAACTTTAAGACTTGTGGACTTCAATTCCCAGAATTCCCAGAAAGTCTGAAAGTTGCCAAGTTTAGGGAACCCTGCTCTAGATAAAAGAAATAACACATTTCCTAATATGTGAAACCTATACATCTTACATTCCTCCTTCCTATGTAGCAATCAGTACTAATCCTGTACAATGGAGAATGACCCCAATCTGTACTTTCTGAGCATTAAACAGAAGCCTACCAGACATTTTCTTACTTTCTTATACAGAGGTTTCATAATTAAGTAACACCACTTATCTACCATCCATCATTCTACATTCTCCTACATCTTATATCAGCAATGGATTAATGAGCTAACATGATCCTGTAAGATTCATCCAAAAGGTGGGTGATTGTAGTAAATGCACACAGGGACTGATCTATAATGCTATTTTATTTTTATTTATGTTATTTGTCAATAGCTTACAAGATAATAAACATAAGTATAAATACAGGAAATGAGTACGAATAATTGGGGACAATAGGACAGGGATGGTAGGCACGATTGTGTGCTTATGCATGCCCCTTACATACATCTTAGGAATGGGGTAAGGTCAATAATGGTTAGTTTGAGGGGAAAGGAGTGTGTGTTTGGGGATGTGACAACAGAGTCTGGTAGTGTGTTCCAGGCATTGACCACTCTGTTGCTGAAGTCGTATTTTCTGCACTCAAGTTTGGAGTGGTGTACATTAAGTTTATATTTGTTGTGTGCTTTTGTATTGTTGCAGTTAAAGGTGAAAAAATCATTGATTGATTAAAGCAGATTATTTTATAAACTCTGCTTAAGTCAAACCGTAGGCGGCATAGTTCTAGGTTGACCAAGTTCAAAATCTCAAGCCTGGTGGTGTAGGATATTCTGTTGCAAACAGAGGAGTGTAGTACCCTTCTTGTGAAGTATTTATGGACATGCTCAATTGTATTAACGTCTGATATACAGTGCAGATTCCAGACAGCCGATCTGTATTCAAGTATTGGTCTAGCAAAGGTTTTGTATGCCCTAGTTAGAAATTCAATATTTCCAGAGGAGAAACTTCTTAAGATTAGATTTACAACTCTTGAAGCTTTTTTGGCAATGCTGTTGCAGTGAGCTCTTGCACTTAGGTCACTAGATATGAGTACTCCAAGCTCCTTGACAGAATGAGGGTCATCAATGAGGTCATATCCACCTAGATTGTATTTGGTGTATTTATTTATTTATTTGGGGCTTTACCTAAGGGGTAAATCCCACTATTGTGGTGGTAGACCCATAGGCTACCCTGTAGTTCATGATAGCAGGATTCCAATATTTGAGGGGCTGCCACAAAGAAGATGGTGACAACCTGTTCTCCAAAGCACCTGAATGCAAGACAAGGAGAAATGGATTGCAGTGAATCAAGGAGAGAAGCAACCTAAAAATAAGGAGAAATTTCCTGACAGAACAATCAATCAGTGGAACGACTTAATTCCAGAAGTTCTGGGTACTCCATCACTGGAGGGTTTTTTAAAAAAGAGATTGGACAGACATTTATCTGAAATGGTATAGGGCCTCTGCTTGAGCAAGGGATTGGACTAGAACAGTGGTCGCCAACCAGTGGTCCGTGGCCCACCGGTGGTCCACGAGAAAATTTTGGTGGTCCACAGAGCACCCCCCCCCCAAAGCAGTTAATCCAGGCTGCATGGGAATACAAGGTTGCGCCACCCACATGGCCCGTGGGAACCCTCCCTGCCCATTCACTCCTTACCTGGCAAACTGGCCTGCTAAGTTGCTATTTTTCTTTTTTCTTTTCCTGACCATCAGCTGTTCTGCTGTGCTGGGAGATTTAGATTAGCTAGAAAGCAGGAAATGGTTGGATTTCTTGCTTTCTAGCAAATCTTTAGATTTTCTGCTCTGCGAACCTCCCTTAGGACTGAAGGTTCTATTATTCAGTGCAGACTCAGATAGCCAATAGCAGAAACACAGATCTCTAAGTGAATCTTTTGGGTAAAAGTTGTTCTTTTTTCATAAAAAAATTCAATATTTATATACATGGTGTGTTGTGAGTTAATTTTGTGAGTTTGCTTGCTAGCAAATTATAATGTGACAGACACAGGTAGCCGATGGCAGAAAGATAGATCTCTGAATCTGTGATTCTGTGAGCAACTCAATCTGCCTGCCTGCTTTGCCTGATTTGGGTAAAAGTTGTTCTTTTTTAATAAAAAATTCAATATTTATAATATTTGCATACAAGCCATGCCCAGCCAGTCACATGACCACCAAGCCACACCCACAAATTAGGCCATGCCCAAGAACTGGTTGTTAATAAATTTGAATCCCACCTCTGCCTCTGTGTGTTTGTGTGTGTGTGTATTTGAGAGAGAGAAAAGGAAAGGGAGAGAGAGAGGTTAGATCAGATCTCTCTCCCTCTGTGTCTCTCTGTCTCTCTGTCTCTCTCTCTCTCTTTTCCAACAATGTCAGCAAACCACCATCAGTCAAAATTCATATTAGTGGTCACCGGGATTTAAAATTAGGAATTTGGTGGTCCCTGAGGTCCAAAAGGTTGGCAGCCCCTGGACTAGAAGACCTCCAAGGTCCTTCCAACTCTGTCATTCTTTTCTGTTTTTTGTTTTGTTTTGATTTGTTCTGTTCTGTTTTCTCTGTTCTGTTCACCTAAACATTTCGGGGAGCCAGAAGTTGATTTGCTTATTACAGTATTTTGTTTTCCTATTTTTTAACAAATTAACCTTGACATATTTGCTGCATGTATTGTTTTTTTTTAAAAAATATTTTTATTGCAATGATTTTCCTTAAAGCTTTTAAAAAATATTTTCCTGCAAACTGTTCTGTGTTCCCCTGGAAAAGTAGTTTAGAAATAAAACAAATATATAAATTTCCCGTAGGACAGGTTTTTTTTGCTATTTTTGTAAAGGATGGGACCATTAGATCTGGCATATAAAAGTTCAGATGAGTACATGATTGCAGCAGAGATATAGAAAACATTTAAAAGTCATCTGGATTAAAAAAAAAACTTTTAAAAAATTAAATTGTAAAATAAGTGTATCAAGCCTCTATTAGGTTTAATTTTACTACACATCAAGCCCATCCCATCCCACCAGTGGTGGGATTCAAATTTTTTTACTAGTTCTGTGGGTGTGGCTCAGTGGGCTTGGCTTAGTGGGCGTGGTGTGGCTTGTTGGGTGTGGCTTGGTGGGTGTGGCAGGGGAAGGATACTGTAAAATCCCATTTCCTCCCCACCCCACTAACCTGCTTCCCAGCTCCGTTCTCCTGTGCAGGGCAACCAAAGAAGACCCAGCCGATCAGCTGGGACTCAGGAAGCAGAGAATAGATGGGGGCAGGGCCAGTCAGAGGTGGTATTTGCCGGTTCTCCGAACTACTCAAAATTTCCGCTACCGGTTCTCCAGAACTGGTCAGAACCTGCTGAATACCACCTTTGCACCCCCCCACCAAATGTAAAGGTGAAAATTCTGTCTAAATTACTATAGTGATTTCATGATGTCACTTCATCATGATTAACAAAAAAAAAAAAATCCTGCTATATTTTTAAAGTGGAGCTGTCAACTGCAAAAAAAAAAAAAAATTGCATTCCTTCCCACTTTATTGCTTTAATGAATCAGGCAATTGAGATTTACTAACTACAAATGTGGTTCAGTGAACAATCACTTAGATCCTATAAATCATCATAATTTGTTTCCTTACAGCTGAATATATGCCTTAAAGATCTATGGAGACAAATATCTCTAGATTTGCTCTACATAATTCACAAGTGACATCTGACCCATAGTCCTTGCAAAGCATTTAGAAAGTTGGCTTTAGGTAATTTGGCCACGCTCTTCTTCTAAACGGTTTTTTCTGACAAATTTCATAAATTGCCATGGAACTCGTCCAAAAACCATATACTTAAATTGTCTATCAATTCAGGTGGTATGGATAGATATCTGGCACCACCAATCCATAAATATGAAACAATTATTCTAAGCATTTATTTTTATGTTTATCACTGTTTTAATCCCAGTTTATGAGGCTAACCAAAGTGCTATAACTTTAAAGGGCTGCAGGTAAAACCTCTGCTTTAGAACAATCACTCTTCGAAGTTGGTTAAAGTTTTGAAGGAAGAAGCTTCTCACAGCCATTCTAATGTAGAGGAAATCCTGATTAAAACAGTACAGTACAGCTAGGAACCATTTTATCTTAAAAGAGAAAGAACAAATGCAGAGTCTTCACTGGAGAATGCGCCTTTTATCTCGCATGTTAATGTAAACACTGTAACAATAAAGAACAAGATTTATTTTTAACTTGGCTTCACCAAAGCTCTGTTGCAATGACTAAAGGTGACAGTTTAGAGAAATATTAATCAGATACATCTATTTAAAGCGCTATCAATTTTCTTTTTTATTATTTTTCTACAGAAAAGCTAAGTCGCCAACCCAGGGCAATGAAGAGAATCAGAGAACTCTTGGCCTACCGCCGGTTCTTCCTCATTGTTTTTACTCCCCTTCTGCTGCTTCCGTTGCCTCTCATCATCAAAACCAAAGTAAGTGAGAACGGCTGAGCTTTTTCAGGTTGGGTCTGTTTAGATATGCTTGACTGTCCCTGGCAGGGCCAGCATACTGAGATGCATTGGTTGGGAAAGGCTGGGCTGTATATTGACATTGAATTGTTTTTCCTGGCTATATCACTGACATCCGATATTTTATGCTCTATTGATCTCAGAATGAAATTCCGTACAATGTAATAATGTATATGACTTGAAAAAGATCAAGGCTCTTTTTCTGATTTTTCTTAATGTGATTTTGATGGATAAACTGAGAAGTCATCAATCAAAATATTTCATATGTTTTGAAATCACAGCTCCTCACAAAAATCCTAGAGAATTACATAGATCTTTATGTTTTAGTTTTGAAATCACAACTCCTCACAAAAATCCTAGAGAATTACATAGATCTTTATGTTTTAGTATGTTGGCATTTGAAGCCAATATGATTTGTGCATCATGACTTATGACAGGTTTTGTAGAAACCCACTCAATTGTGGTTTAATGAAAGTAAACCTTGACTTACTGTGTGAGCCTTGTCACAAACCTAAAATATGTTTAGTTGTGGATAGAAAATTACTAAGAACTGTGGAAGTTTCAAATTACATCTAAGGCAACAAGACTGAAAAAAAAAAAAAAACCTTACAGAGGGAATTCCTCATTTTGAAAGTATAACGAATGTCAGTTAATCCTGTCTTAATAGAATGAAATAAAGGAAAAGGTGAAAATCATTTTTACAATTGCTATCATATATTCCAGAGGATATCCCCTACCCTGATTCCTAGTTTACACCTTCAGACAAGGCAGAGTTTTAAAAGTATGACAGAGAATACCATACGAACCTTTCTTCCCCCAAAGAAGACATTTTCATGAATCTGAACTTGTTAAATTCTCATTTGTAATATTTGTATTCACAAAAAAGTATCATGTAGGCCCATATATCCTTTGGGATATATTCAAGCTTCAAGCATTCTTATTTCATTTTCCTTTGAAACAGCTGCATTTTCTTCACACTTCTCCTACATATCTCTTCTCTGGAGAGGTTTCTCACCAGCCTTTCCCTCTGTTTGATACCTTAAACTGCCTTCCACTTATTTTGATTTTAAAACAAAGTGCCATCTATCTATGGGCCATTGTATGGAGGTAGCTGGGAGATAGAATTCAGCAGGTATTGATTTTTGTTAATGCATTAGATGCTTTCAATACTAATTGATCAGTACCTTCTAAGTTCTATGTGCACCTGTGACTGATTCATGAGGACCAAGGTACCAATTAAGGATGCAGTTGCCAAGAATGCAGCCTAGACATTAAGAAAACATTACAGAGATTGCGTATGAATGCAGCATTTTCTATTTAACATCTTCTTGTGGCAGAAGGTTAAACCAAGCAAATAACAGCAGCTTGTCAACTGGACAAGTGTGGCTTTTTATCTGCCAATGTAATCAAGGCATTTGTCAGACATTAATAATGTAAATGAGTGAATTTTTGACTCCATGAAATTCTACAACAAAACTTGAGTTTTGAGAAGCTGTCAATTGTCATCCTGATCAATGACTGCACCAGTTTTATTACCCCCCCCCTAACTTTTTATGTCTATATATTTCCACAGTACTGCACAGTTCCTTTAAGTGGTAAAGGAGGGAAATAAATCTCCCCTAATGCAGATTTTCTCCCCATCATAATTAGTCATAACAGCATTTTTAGAGAAGTTATTTTGAGAACAAATAAAAATAGACTCCAAAGATTGAAAGGCGAATCTATCACATTCACGTAACATTCGTTTCTCTTCTCTAGTATCTTTTATATTATGAGTTTGCTGTGCACCAATATATACTATCAAATACACAATCCTTTAGGCCAGGGATGTCAAACTCGCGTCATCACGGCAGTGTCACGTGATGTATTGAGACTGTTTTCCCCTTCACTAAACCGGGAGGGGGTGGGGCCAGCACATGAGGCATCTGGCCCACGGACCGCGAGTTTGACACCGCTGCTTTAGGCATATAGATGTCTGTTTGGATATACAGGTAGTCCTTGACTGACAACCACAATTGAGCCCAAAATTTCTGTTACTAACTGAGACAATTGTTAAGTGAGTTTTGCTCCATTTTACAACCTTTCTTGCCACAGTTGTTAAGTGAATAATTGCAATTGTTAACTTAGTAACCTGGTTGTTAAGTGCACCTGGGTTTCCCATTGAGTCTGTAGAGATTCTCACTCATCCAGGTCACGGTTGTCCCAAAGGTGCTTTTTCAAGAGGCAACTGGACTTTCTTGTTGTTGTTTTTCTTTGAAGACATTTCACTTCTCATCCAAGAAGCTTCTTCAGCTCTGACAGGATAGTTGGGAAGCTGTCTGCAAGGAATATAAATCCTTCCATTCCCCGCCTTCAAAGAAAAAAACAGTTGCCTCCTGAAAAATCACCTTTGGCTTCCTCATTGAGTGCTTGTCAGAAGGTTGCAAAGGGTGATCACATAATCCTATGAACCATCATAAATATGAACCAGTTGCCAAGCACTCAAATTTGACCACATGGCCATGGGGATGCTGCAATGGTCATAAGTGTGAAAAATGGTCATAAGTCACTTTCTTCAGTGCTATTGTAACTTTAAATCATCACTAAATGAACTGTTATAAGTCAAGGACTACCTGTATAGATGGATGCGATGGATATATAGAGCAACATATCTGTCAGAGAAACATATGTTGACATATGAAATGTGCGTTAAGCAGAGTCTCATTGTATATTTATTTATATTTATTTTAAGTTAGGAAAAATGGGAAATATGATATAGTACTAAGAATAGTACAGATAGCAGTAAATAATCTTACAACATATTGAGCTGTGACCTAGGAGCTATCAGTCTTAATTTTTCTTAGTTTTTCAGCTTGTATAGCTCTATCAAGTTCAGATTATTTCCCTTGAATTTTTTTAAAGTTTGCAGTAAAATATTCATGCATTTTGATGCCTATTTCTTTAAGCATCCACTTTTGTGTATGTATTATGTCTCTAACATAATATTGTCAAATATCTTTGACCAATATGAGGATTTTTACATTATTTTTACAAATTTATGTTTTTGTGAACAAACATTTCATGTAGGTGAGCTATCATTCTCAATGCTTATGCCATGCAAGATTCAAAAATAGCTATGTCTATGTATTAATTCAAACATGCAATGTTAAATAAGTGTTCATAAATTTGCCAGATGTGAGCTGAAAAATTCCTGGCAGGTAAAAGAAATTTTGATAACTTCTAATATCTAGGGGCCATCCATATTTGAACATATATATGTATATACCCATCTCAGTTGAGGGTTCCTTTATCCATGTACACAGCTGCAATTGTCATCTCTACATGTGATTTGATACTGGTCTTTCTATAATTTTCTAAAAAACAATCCTTTGCATCATTTAAGTATGTTAATGTTTGATACCAGAGTTCTGATTCTTAGTCATTCTAAATCATCAGTAGTTATGCAGTAAAATTTTGCATGGCATCTTAAGAAATTAATCATTGTTCGGAAAATATGTGCTAAATATGTATTACTAGTCACAAAAGGCAGGTAACCTCTTACTGCACACTCTAGGTGGTTATATTTATTGTTGGATTTTCTTTTTAGAATATAATTCTGTAAAAATGAAAGTGTTATAAAAATGAGGTTTTATTACTGCCTTTTCAACATATTGCATGCAATAAAATAGAGATGAATAAATTTCTCTTGTTCACCGTCTTACTGAAATGTAGCTGTGCCTAAGAGATGGATAATTTAGTTTCAGGCAGAGAGAAGAACCTATGCTCAATCTGTTATTTAAATGATTAATCTTTCTGGCTAATCTTTCTTCTCTAGCGTATGTGCACAAGGATAGTTTAAGGCATCTTTCATGTAATGGAGAGAGAAGAAAAACTGGCCGTAGAAGCTTTAATGTGTATAGATTTTGTCTTTGCTTTGGTTTCTTGATGGTTTCTTTACAATTTTACTGAAAGCTGGTAACAAGTAGTGATTTCCTGTTTTTAATTACCACTCTGGGACACAATCTGTTACAGAGTGCTAAGGATGTTGAAAAGCAGACAAAAATGTTCCATCATTAAGAATGGATCTTAGGGTCCCAGTGACACATATATTACATAGCTCCATGGAGACTATCCTACGTATTTCCGCCCCAGAAGTTTTTAGAAGGGCGAACTGAACAAGCACGAAGAAACATATCCTCAATCCCATTTAGGACATTATGGTAGATCTCAGCCCAAGCATGCAGACTTCAGCAGATAGGAAGTATAGGAGAATGACTTCAAAACAGCTTGTGTCCTAGGGCAGGGGTCCCCAACCACCAGTCCCCCGACTGGTACCGGTCCGTGGATCATTTTTTACCGAGCTGCAAAACTTGGGCGCCGCCATCTTGTTTCGACAGCGCTTCCGGGTTTTCGGTTGCTTCCGGGTTTTTGGTTGGAAAGCGGCATTTGGGTGCTTGCGCCTTAGTTTCGTCGAAGGGGGGGGCAGCTTCGAATGAAGAGCCGTCCCGATGGCGGTGGAGTCTCACATTACTCAGGTACCGGTCCGTGGAAGAATAAATAATCGTGAAACCAGTCCCTGGTTCGAAAAAGGTTGGGGGCCACTGTCCTAGGGCATTCATTTTTGTTTGGTTTTGAGGACAAAGCTTAAGCAAAAGAAAGAACTCCATGAAGGCACATCCCCAGAATATAAATCTTATATAACTGAAACCAAAACGAGGATAGTTGGCCTACAGACTGAAAACTGCCATTAGCACAATATTTTTTAAAATCACTTCTATATAGTTATCGGAGTGGTCCGGTGGCCTAGAGGTGGAGCTCTTACCTCACAATCAGGAGGCTGTGTGTTCAATCCTAGGTAAGAGGCAGATATTTTTCTCTCTTGGCACACTGAGAATATATCTGCTGAACAAAACTCCTCATTGGCGACAGGAAGGGTATCCAGCCATTAAACACTCTGCTAGCTCCATTCAGTTGCCCAGACTCCACCCTGCAAGGGATTATGGGGCCATTAGATGATGATGATGATGACGACGACTTCTATATAGTTATCAAACTAACTGCCCAGATAAGTGCATTTCAGTCAGCAGAATAGAGCATTACCATGAAATCACTTGATTTTAGTCCAAATAAACGTTATTCCCTTTCAGTAAGATAATGCGAAAGTTCAATTCAAATTGGCAGAAGGTTGTCATGGTTAACTTTTGTATGTAGAGGTTGGGTCAGCTTTGTTTACTGAAGGATTCATTGAAGCCTGCAGTTTGATAAGGTGTCTAAACTTTGTTGTACAACTGTATATTTGGAATTGTATTTTCTTTTTGGTTCTTTGGATTTTGTCACTTGGCTACAATTATTGTCTAATGTAAATCTAATTTGTTTTAAATTATTTTTATCTAGGAAGCAGAATGTGCATACACATTGTTTGTGGTTGGCGTCTTCTGGCTCACAGAAGCTTTGCCTCTGGCTGTTTCTGCATTAATTCCTGCTTTAATGTTTCCACTGTTTGGAATATTGTCTTCAAAAAAGGTATATCTCTTCTGTTTGTTTCTTTTTCTCTGTTGTTACTCCACCAGTCAGTCAATTTATATTTCAAAGATCACAATGCATGTACTCTCTTTGATGAAATGTTGGTTTATAATGTGCCAAATACTAAAAGGAGGGCTATGAGATCTAAACTACAAAAATTCAGAGCACCACTAGGCCAATAAAGATACACAACTCTGATTCTTTGCTCCTGCTTAGTTGCTATTTGTGGGACCAATTTAATAATCCTACTAAAAAGCCCTGTTTACTTAGAACACATCTTGAAACCATCCTGACTTGCATTTATCTCTGCATCAGAGATGATTGTGATACAGAAATTTAAAACCAGAGCTAGTCTAGTACAATGGTTAATAAATAATACCAGACTAAAAACCAGGAAATTGTAAATTCTAATCCTGCTTTAGGCATGTAGCTGCTGGGTGACCTTGAGCCAGTTACTCTCTCCCAAGGCAGTGGCAAACCAATTCCAAAAAAACTTGCCAGGAAAACTGCAGGAACACAGACTGAGCAGGCTGCACGGTGAAGGCACTTGCTTGCTTATAATACTAAAAACAAAATCACTTTTCATGAACTGAGCCATAGAATGGCACTGAGATCACTTAGACCAGCTTTGTTGGCTGGGGAATTCTGGGAGTTGAAGTCCTCCAGGCTTAAAGTGCCCAAGGTTGGAGACCCCTGACTTAGACAACTAAGATACTAAGAAGTGAATGAAACTTCCTAAACTCATAATCTAAATTTAGATTCCCTAATTCTTATTAGCCCAATCCATCTTAATTGTCTCATATTTCTCTCAGATGATGGGCATTGCAGCCACTAGCCTGCATCATTTTTTCCTCCAAAACTGCTTCATATATTTTTTGTTTTTGTTTTAAAAACTCTCTTTTTATTTCAATGCATTTTGATGAGCCAACGCATTTTGTGTTTTGAATACAAAAGTTGAAAAGCATGCACTTAGCTAATAAGACACATTTTGATTTTTAGGTGGCATCTGCTTATTTTAAAGATTTTCATCTGCTCTTGACTGGCATAATTTGCCTGGCAACATCAATTGAAAAATGGAATTTGCACAAGAGAATTGCCCTGAAAATGGTGATGCTGGTGGGTGTTAACCCTGCATGGTACGTAGCTCGCACGTGTGTATGTGTGAGTGTCTGTATGTATAAAGGTGCCATTGAAATTCCATTTGGCTCAGAAATGACTCTGCTTTGCAGCACAGTTGCCTCCTCTTTTCTTGATATTTTGTTGTCCATTAGCAACCACACACTGGAAAGAAATTCAACAGATGCTGCTTTAGTACAGTTCTACTATTACAAAGAGGATAAGAAACAACGGGGCAAGTTGAGCTGTAAGGCATTGGCTGTTTACATACCAGGATTACTGCTCTATTTGGCTGCTAAAGAGATTTGTTACGAGCAGCCTTTTGCTGAAATTTAATTATATGTATCATTGGGGCGAGAAGACAAGTCGCACATGAAATGCTTCTGTTATTGACGATAATGGTGGATGGCTTGGAACGAAATAGCAGACGAACTAGTGAACATCTCTGACTCATCCTCCTTAATGGCTGAGATTAGGCAACCCACGAGATCTTTCATACACTGCATCACTATTATTCAATTTATACTTTAGGTAGTTCCAGCAGCAATTTCAGACTCGGAGGAATATTCTGCCTTTTTCCCAATTTGCCGACTGTTCTTACAAAGAAGAAATTAAACCCATGCTGTGCTCTTTTTTATTGCTCTCAAGGAGTCAGATGGCCCCTACTGTCTCTTGTCAATCCCACCAGCAAGTTAAAAAGGAGTTTGTAAGCGCAGCAGCTTCCCTGAGTCTGAATTGCCAGTGGCTGCTGTGATGGGGAAGCAGTAAGCTGTCACTTACCGCTTTGATTGCAAATTAGCAATGTTAGCTAAAAAAGGAGCGTTTCCGCTCCTGGTGTTCGATGTGGGTGAACAGGAAGCCATGGTAAGAGCCGGTAGATGTGCTGATGCATTCCTACCAGCAAACAATATTCACAAAAAAAAAAAAGAGAGATGGGCCTTCAACTGCACAGTCACAGCAGCCATCTTGATATTTTGCACATGTGGGCATTCCTCTGGACACCATAGGATAGATCATATCTAGCCATTTGGGGTGATCTACAAAGCTAAGTAGGTTTAGCCTTGAATAGTGTTATTGTAGGAGAGGTCACTAGGAACCTTATGCCAATGTAGAATAACTAGTGTTTCTCAACCTTAGTCATGTTAAGTTGGGTGTGGGGAAATTCAGGGGTGAAGGCGGATATACGTATCCCATGATAATGTTGCAAGATCCAAACTGGGTCAGTCACCAGGATCAGAAGTTAGACTTCTGTTGGACCCCACCCTCGGGGAATCTCTCTCTAGCAGAGAATGTTCTCTGGGCTATTCTGTGTGTTGTATTTATATGGTGCCTGATAATGTAGTTGATTGGGTTGTTGATGGCTGGCTATTAAGTTTCTGGTTGTCGTTTTCTTGTGCTGCCAATTCCTCATCTCCCAAGTACTTAAAGCTGGAGTTGACATCCATTCATCTTAAAGTGGCTAAGGTTGGAAAACACTGAAATAGACTAAAAGTACAACTTCTGTACTATCTTCTCAGAGAAATTTAAGCTACAGTTCTATAGATATGCATTTCGGTAGTTTCAATACTTAGTTATGTAAATTACACAGTTTCTTGAGACGTTAGTATTTTAAGTGTCATTTCACATGTACAGTGATCGTTTATTTCTCTTTGCAGTAATGTAAGTATATAATGTGAAATATTCAGAGCATATTTCAAACAAGAGTAATTGAGAGTAAGCAATATTTTTATTAGACACATATGGTTGCTCCAATGTCTAGAATTACAACCTAAACCTCATGATTTTGTGATTTCAAATTAGTAAAAAGTTCAGATAGAAAATAGAAAAATAAATAATACATTTACCTAAAGTTTCTTTTATAACCTGCTTATCTTCATACTATTAAATATATATACAGAATAAAACCCGAAAGTAATGACGATTTAGTGCTGCATCTAAAGCCTCACACTTCTTCTCCAAACATATGAGTGAGTGAACAAGTCACAAAGTTTAAATTTATTATACTTTTCGATTTAGTTTGGTCTGGGAATTTATATCAAGGAAACATTACAAAGTTAATAAGCTACAGCTGCCCCATGCATCTTTCCTTATCAGCTGTAATGACTTTTCCCAGAGGGAAGCTAAATAAATTGATCTTTCTGATGCTTATAATATGGTTTTTGGAATTAAACATATTTTAAATTCCTTCTACTGGAGATGACATATTCATCATAATTGACTCTTGCCTTTCAATTGTTGAGTCCTGCAACCATTCTTTTTCTCAGTCTCAATACCTTCATGTTGACATGCATTATATTTTATCAAGTCAGCATTTTTATCAAATTATATTTTGCACACTTTTCTGTAAGAGAAATGGAATATAGATTTGCCTTCAGATAGTATTTAATTTAACTGAATTAAATCAAATTAGTTTGCTAGGTTGGGCAGAGTTTTTATTATGCAATGGTATAATCATCAGTTGTAAATTTGTCAATGGACTCAAAACTTTTGGCAACAAATTGCTGTTGCATTTTCACAGAGAATTATTACCTTTAGTGGTATTCTTTAATATTATTGAACAAAGCTATTACCAAATTCAACAAAAGTTTTAAAAGAAAGACATGCTTAAGAAATTTATTAATAAATGCATATAGGTTAGACAACAGAAACTTACTCTGTTCACTATAGTTTGTGAATGATAGAATCAATGTTCATATATAGTAGACACAGAGAAAGTGACAGAAAGTATTTATGGAAGAATTGGAATTTAAAATGTAATGTGCATCACTAGTTATGGTAATTTAAATAATAAGGCTTTTATTAGATTAGAATTTTGGTTTTGCAATAATGAAGTTAGTTTTGAAATTATATTGCTTATACCTTCATTATTCTTTTTTACTTATTAAAAAGTCTGGATACTAATGGAATTGACCTTCACCTGATAGCAGGAAAGCGTTTAAGCAGTTTATTTAAAGCTACTGGATAGCACTTGTTATAAGCAAAAGAGTATTTGTAGAAACACTCATAAAGTAAAACCTATGGATCCTGCCAATATTGTACACTACTAGGATCCAATATGTATAAGTAGAAACCTGAATTGTTTAAATGTGGTGATTTTAATAGCAAAAATGTCAGTTTTTCATATTCGGAAGAGTAAGGCATTGTAAATAGCATATAGGAGTGCCAGACATATTCATCTTGAATGTTGTTGAAACTGTCAAAAACAACTGCAGTATACACACACACACACACACACACACACACACACAACCCCCTGGAGATACAGTTTCACAAATTCAAACATATTGCTGCCTACAAATCTTTTCTTTTTGTAAGGAATACTAATATTTTTGAAATTACGGTTCTAACATTTTTTCCCATTCTCAGCTCCTGGCCCATCTAATTGTCAAAACTATCCAGCTACCCCAGATTCTCTCCAAGTCACTGCCTCTACAGATTTGTAAAGGGAGATCATGTGTGTAGCAACATGTACTGTTTTCAAGAAATTGTGTTCCATTGCTCTTTGTTGTGCTGGTGATCAGTCAGATATTCAATGAAATGTGTTTGTGAACTGATATATGTGCCCATGTCTATGTGTGCGTAGATTGATAACAAAAAAATGATTTAGATACTTGGTGAACTGAAATGTTAGCAAAGAAAGCCAGCTGCTTGGTAGGATTTATGATTAGAGAATTACTTGTTGTATAGCAAAAACCAGTGACCTTTTGAGGGGTGGGAATGTCAAGCAATGGGCACACTTTGTGGAGTTGACAGACTAATGAGAGAGTCACAGAGTTAGTGAGGATATAGAAGCATGTGGGCTTGGAGGACACTCGAGGTGCTTCTATTTTGAAATTGTGACTTGTTTGTCATGAGAAAAATTGAAAATCTCATTTATTTCCTATTTCAAAATAGAAAGAAAACCTCTACCTACACTTTTCCGTTGTGTTGGAAGGGCTCTTGAAGGAGTTAGGGGTTGCTTTCTCCATCCTTGCTATATGGACTCATTAAAAAGCTAAAAGAAATACAGGTAATCCTTGACTTCCAACCACAATTGAACCCAAAATTTCTGTTGCTAAGCAAGACAATTGTTAAGTGAATTTTTCCTTGTTTTATGTCATTTCTTGACGCTGTTGTTAAGTGAATCACCGCAGTTGCTAAATTAGTAACAGGGTTGTTGATGAAATGTGGCTTCCTCATTGACTTTGCTTGTCAGAAGGTTGCAAAAGGTAATCCCAGGAACATGGGACACACTGCATCTGTCACAAATATGAATCAGTTGCCAAGTGTTTGAATTTCGATCACTTGTCCGTGGAGATGCTGCTACTTGTCATAAATTTGCTGCTGTAATGAATGTTGAACGGTCACTAAACAAACTGTTGTAAGTCAAGGATTACTAGAGGCTCTAATCCATACAGTAGTTATCTATGCTGACTGTCCTTTCACAACTTTTCTTCTCTCTTTTCCGGTGGAAAAGTAGAACCTCCAGGAAAAAGAAATACTAATTAAAAAACACATACAACTTCTTTTTACCAGATTTCAAACTAACAACCTACTAAAGGTAAAAGTAAAGGTTTTCCCTGTCCAGTCTTCTCTGTTTCTTAACCAAGGGAGCCAGCATTGTCTGAAGACACTTCTGTGGTGATGTGCAGGCGTGGGATTCTACCGGTTCGGAACGGTTCGTGAGAACTGGATGTTAAATTTGCATCTGGTTTGCTGAACCGGTATTTGAACCAAGTGGCTGGCCCTGCCCACCTCACCCTGCCCCTCCCAGGAGTCTCCACGCACACATTTTCGGTGCAGGTAAGTGTAGGATCTGCGCGGAGTTTCTGGGAGTGACAAAATGGGCCTTTCGTAAGGGCTGGAAGTAAGTCTGGAAGCTGGTCGGTTTCCGGCTTCCGGAGGGCCTCCTGAGTCTGAGGAGGCCATTTTTGCCCTCCCAGAGGCCCAAGGGAAGCCTCTGGACCCTTGGGAAGGTGAAAAATGGCCCTCCCAGAAGTTCTGGTAGGCCACAACCACATGGCCATGCCCACCCAGCACC